TGTGCCCTAAAGCCAATCATATGCTGATACTTTACGGACATTTTACATGTTAAACTAATCTAGTTTAACTATAAAGGGCAAAGATTATTGTTTGAGCCGTCTCATATAAATGTTATATGCTTAAACGATAAAGTCCAAGGAATATGTGATTGGGAGAATGTAATCTAATGAATTTAGATTCATGAGACCATTCTTTCGTAGACACATCCTAAATGTTCCTGATCATAGGATTGCCAATTGGGCATTGACAGTCCGTCAAGATCGGTACGTGCTATGTCTTCTCTCAGGGAGAGTGACTAGTCTCGAGTCATTGGTGTGTGTGACATCAAGACAAGTACGTAGGTGCTCAGTAGAGAATGAGTTCACTGAACGCGATCAACGAAGAGTTCTCATACTCATGTCACATGAGAACTCATGTTTGGGATAATGCAAATTAGTCATTTGACCTGAGGCATCACAGTTGTCTTGTGGTTAAGTCCTTGATCTTTGATTATGTCAAAGTCACCCCATCGGGGTGTCCACGGCATCGTTGGGGTTAAGCCACTTAGTCATGGAGGCAAATGAATGCGCAACAAGGGATCTCTAACCTTCAAACCGTTTGAGGGAGAATACTCTATGATATGATTTAGAATCTTTGGCCAGAGTATGAATGAGATTTAGAAAAGTCGTTCTAAATCACATTCAAGGAAATCATATAAGCACACGAATCACATTGGATAGTAGACATGAATAAATAAACTATCAAACCAAACAATGTGGTCAGGAGTATTAGATTAGAGAAAGACCGTATTGCATTTGTAATCCCAAACTGAATAGGTTTTCTCTACCTCTTCTGATTAGCTTGGGTAACCATGATATGCTGCAAGGTGTCACTCATGGTTTGTGGAAGCCCTAAACGCGTGTAATCACTAAAGGGAGAATTGAAAGTAAGTTTCAATTCACAATCGATGTAAAATGGTTTTAATCGCCCACTGCCTCGCTAAAAGGAACCTAATGGATCGCACACCGTGTAAGGAGGAGATTGAAGAAACAATGGAGATGAGTAAGAATGATTAAATGGTTTAATCATTTATTTATGGCAAGGATTGATTAATATGTTAATTAATCAAACGAATAAGTTCGTTAAAGACCTCGGGATAGTTTTGGACCTTAAGGCCCAATGGGCTTCGAACATCAAGCCCATTAACTTAAGTTGTATGACAACTTAATGAATAATGATTCACAAAGGCCCAATTAGTCCAAAATATCCTAATGGCCGGCCATATTGTTTAGGGTAGTGAACTTGGACTTATTTACAAGTTTGCCACTCAAATGAATAAAGGTATAAATATGACTTTATAGCCAAAATTCATTAAGGGTTTGTTTTGGAGAAAATTGGTGAGAACTTGTCTCTCCATTTCTCTCTAAAGAGGCCGGCCACCTTGGGGGGTGCATCTTGCAATCCCACTACTCCAAGGTCACTCATTTCTTCTCCAATCTCTCCTTGGTGAAGAGACTTAGAGGTTCTCAATTTTGGGAACTTGGAGAAACCTATTCTTCCATCCAAATCCATAGATTTAATATGCAAGGAATGAAGGCCCTCTCTTTGGGTGATTAGCCTTTGCTTATGCAAAGAGGAATCTACAAAGGTACAATTTCAACTCACTTTGTTTTGAGTTGAGTTTTGGTTCACCAATCTACTAGGCTTTGAATTTCATGGTTAATGTTTTGTTTTTAAGTGCATGCAAGCATGATTCCTCCTTTAATTGTTAATTGCATGCTTATAGATGTTGCTTAAATGAACATGTTTTCACAAAATAATCCTTCAAGAGGAGATGATGTGGATGCGTGTGTGTGGTCTAGGATTGGTCAACAACCCAAAATACACAATTACTTAATCCTAATTGGTCCCAAACAATTAGGATTTTAGAATAGTGATCCATAAACAACACTTAAACCACATCACACAATTTAACGTCCATGGGTATTTCCGTCATTTCACACCATCAAGAATAAAATAATATACATCTCTGGGACGGGCTGTGACATTATCAATCTACTCAACAACTAAAAAAAATAAATAAGTAAATAAAGTCACACCAATATTTCAAAAAATTGTATACATAGAAAATATTTCATTTTCATTTGAATTTAAAAGATCACAATTATTAAAGTAGACAATGTATTGTTATTAACACTCCATAATAATCACTCTCCTCTCATTTATTTTTATTTTTTATTAGGAATAAGTCCATGGTGACTATTTTGCAGTGTCACTATAGTAGCATATCTATCTACTTGAGGTCCTGCATTTGATTTCCCTTTTTCTAGTATTGAAATTTACTTGAAAAAAATAAAAAAAATAAAAAAAAAAAACCAATAAAGAAAAAACAATGCATTGTATTTTCTACCCTCATTGGTAGAATGGACATATTTCACTCTTTGAAGATCATCTCTCCAAAAGACAGTTTGGAATGAGAGATCATTCGTTGGTAATATATATATATATATATATTATAAATGACAATGTGATGGTAATGAATATGTTACTTGGTATTCGCACTGTCAATTAGAGGTCGTTCTTGTCTTTGGAGCATTCACCATGAATATGTTATTTACTTACACCGTTACTTTGTTCCAAACATTTAAATGACTAAACGATCTCATATTCAAATTATTGATGTGAGAATAATATTTAAACGAAGATTTACACTGCTTCAATTAAAAATTTATACAATGAAAAGACATTATTAGCAAGAATAAGATGTGCATTCCTGGTGATTCGAGGAATCTCCCCTTTATTAATAACATTGGGGAGTTGATTAGAGTTGGGTACCATGAAAATGTATGATTGTTTTGGGAGGAAGAATGAAGTACATTATTAGTAAAAGTAGGTTAGGTCCTCCCAGGCCAAAGACAACGTGGTGGCGGTGAGGTGACATAAACAAAAACAAGAGGGAAGGGAGGGAGGGAATTGGATCCTCTCCGAGACAAATCCTCGGAATCCTCTAACACGACCGTTGGATCAAAATCCAACTGCTACAATTATTATAATTTTAAAGGGACCTCCGTGTTAATGGATCCTGAGGATCCCGAGGATTTGCCTCGGAGAGGATCCAATTCCGGGAGGGAGGGAGGGAGGGAAAGGACCACACAAGACAAGTAGAGAAGCGTGAAAGATGATGGGAGATTAACTGTCTCTATAATTGTTTAGTGTAATCTCCTCTCTCCTAGGTAATGACAGTGAGATTCACCTCCATTATTCCCTTCTGACCCGCAAATTCTGTCTCCCCTCATCACCTGCTTTTTGTCTTCTAATTTTTTTCCAATACAAGCCATACCTTTAAATTATTTTATAAAGAGGTTTATATGATTTCAGCGATGCCTAATGAATTGAAGAAGATCAACTAAAAGAAATTAACCAATGATATGTGAAAATTAAAAATGAATGTGTTCATAGCACTACTCTTAAAGAAAAATGTCATAACGACGTGCCATTTTCCAAACTTTTTTTAATTGGATTAATAATATTAACATCCCCTGAAGTTTGTTGAGTTTTCACAAAATTTCCTCACGTTTGATATATTACACTAACACTCCTAATGTTTTAATTTCATTTCATATAACCCCTTGAGTAAAAAAATTTCTTACAAATTTACTAATTTACCCTTATAATTAAAGAAAAACTCTAATTTTTGTGGAATAAGAATTTTTTTATTTATAAATACTGGCAGATGCCCCACACTTTGTGTGTGAAAATAATTTTTATTTTTATTTTATAATGGGAAGGAGAAAGGGAAAAAAAAGGAATGTGGATTAAAGAAATAAGTTTTCTTTTTTATATTTATTTTTCAAAATTAGAGGATGTTAGGATCACCCTTAAATAAGGCCTTGGAAAAAAGCACTGTAAAATTTAGTTTATTGCCCATAATTTTGTTTTGTTGTAAAAGACAAAATTATCTTTGTATCCTTTTTTGGTAGATAAAGAAGATTTTATTAATGTAGTTTAGATATAGAAAAAGAATTTCAAATTAAAACATTAATAGTAAAAAAACAAAAATTAAAAATCAAAACGTCAGCAGGAGAGATGGTATGGTCGTTGATCTCACCAAGCCCATAAATTTGTTTACGTCGGCGCTGTCGTGTCTTACCAGAAGACGGATTCGGTGCCTCTGCGGTTCCTTGTGTAGGTTCTAGTAAATTGACTTTGAGATTCACTTTGGATTCAGTTTTCACGGGTGACGACGATGACAATTTATGTCTATGAACGATTGAAAAGAAGGTATTTGGTTTTGTATCCACCAATTGAAAATTTAGGGCAACAACTCAGCGGTATATTGTCTTAGGACGGCCCCGAGAAATCAAAAGTAGAAATAAAATTACATTCAAAACCCTCGGGTTGATGTTGCGATCAGTGTCGTCTTGGGGGTAGAGGTGCTGCCATCATCTGAATGAGAGGGCGAAGAAGTACTTGTTCCTGCAGGGGAGGAGGGGCGTCATGAGCATGGCGGTGGAGAACAATGTCATCTCGAGGCTCGGTGGTAAGAGGTGTAGAATACAATGTAGCCGAGGAAAGAGTCGCAAGACATGAGATGGAAAAAATACAGCTAGAGAAAGAAGAACTTCTTGTCATTTTTTTAGTGTTTAATGTTTTATAATTTTTTTTTGGAACTGTTATTGGCATTCCAAAAATCTAATTGTACACTTTAAACTTTCTATATTTAGAAAGAAAAATACTCTTATAAAGAATATACAATTAGATTTTTTGAGTGCCAATAACAGCTTCTTTTTTTATATTATATAATTATAAAGCTTTTGTTTATTAGTTTTAAGTAATTAATAAGGGTCAAGTTGTCTATTTATTATTAGGCTTTTTACTCAAGGAGTTATTTGAATGTAAATTAAAATTTAAAGGGTGTCAGTGCAATATCTCAAACGTGAGAAAATTTTATGAAAACTCGATAAACTTAAGGGGTGAGTGTAGTTAACTTTTTTCAATCTTATATATTTAGACATCCCAGACCACTTCTCTTATCTCAAGATTCTCAACTTAATTCTCTTTCTCTTCCAAATTACCACCACTATTGACTCTGCTTTGCTAGCTCTTTCTAATTTCCCCATTTGGTCCACCCTCCTTGCTTTCTCTCCACACTGCATTGGTTGAATCTGGTAAAAAATCCCAGACCATGTAAACTTAGGTGGTTACTTTGATAGCCAGTTCAAGTTATGGCAATCTCTTGCCCCCTGCTTGCTGTAAACTGTTAGCAATTTTTCAGTGGAGGGAGGCTATCTCTATTTTACTCAAGGAAATCGGTAATACCGATCAGACATCAGAGACAGAAGCATGGAAGAGACATTTGTGCCTTTGCGGGGAATCAAGAATGATCTCAGAGGAAGATTGAAGTGCTACAAGGAAGACTGGACTGGGGGCTTTAAAGCTGGATTCAGGTATATACTACATATACATTCATTTACTCAAATACAAAAGTAAAAAATAAAGCGAGGTGTGCCATGAAAGAACATAATGAACATGCGGAAATCACTTCCCATCAACTCGAGAGATTTTTTATTGTTTTGAAAATATAGTTCGTTACATTAAATGTCATTACATCTTAAATTAAGCATTTGGTATACCAAGTCGTGTTTCGGTACATAAAAAATTTCTCCGTCAACTCATGCAATATCCTTTTTTTCCCTTTATGTTGAATAAAATGCAAACTTATGTTGATATTGGTTTTTTCAGGATTTTGGCTCCTACAACCTACATATTTTTTGCTTCTGCAATCCCAGTCATTTCATTTGGTGAACAATTGGATCGAAGTACTGGTATGTTTTGCGACTCATCAACTGCTCCAACTCCAAGTCTTGAATTTATTTATTTATTTTTACTTGTTTCTGCACAACCGTATTCAAAATGACGATTTGGTTAACTCACACAATAAATTAGTCATAATTTAATATTCTCGTCATGATAGTTGAATTTGAAACTTTTCGCTAATAATTGCAATATTAGATTTCCAATTCACAACAATAGTAATTCCTTTTTAACTTGAAAGGCACTATGATATAATATTTATTGTTGTTCTCTAAAGGTCTCACATTTCAAGATAGTTTACTTGCACCTTGAGCTAGCCTTTTCGATCACTATATTAACAACTTGTTAGTTGGTATGGAAAACAAAAGGTAGGAAAGGATTCAAGGGAGAATGACAGAGAAAAATAATATAGTGTGTGAGTATTAAACTGTTTTTTTCTTTCTTCTATAATAGGTATTGGCTGGCATGTGAACTAATTAGTTAGGGTGATATTCGGGAGAACTTCCTTTTAGATTATATGTGTAAACGATATGATGTGACAGTTGATAGATAAATTCTTTCTTTTACATCATTAAAACTGAAAATCAACTATTAACTACCACATTACTAGATTTACAGTCTCAAAAGATGATCTCCTTGACATTTCCAGTTAGTTAATTAATTAATTAATCAAATTATACTGTATGCAGATGGAGTTTTGACAGCAGTGCAAACCTTAGTATCGACGGCAGTTTGTGGGATCATACATTCCATCGTCGGAGGTCAACCCTTGCTGATATTGGGTGTGGCCGAGCCTACTGTAATCATGTACACCTTCATGTTCAATTTTGCCAAAGAACGTAAGGACTTGGGTCCAAAGCTCTTTCTAGCATGGTCCGCATGGTAAGCCTTTATATTCCTAATTTTTTTTAAGGTCTCGACTCTCGAGTTCTCTTCTCTTCGCATGTGTGCTTTTGGTCGAATTCCATGAATTTGCCTTCTAATTGTTTGTTTGAAGTTGTTTGACTAACCCTGATATTGTGGGGAATACTGAATTTTGTAGGGTATGTGTATGGACAGCTGGTTTACTGTTCTTATTGGCAATATTAGGCGCTTGTTCCATAATAAATAGGTTTACAAGAGTGGCTGGGGAGTTGTTTGGTCTACTTATTGCTATGCTCTTCATGCAGCAAGCCATTAAAGTATGATTTCTTCTTACCTAATTATTATTATTATTATTATTTATTATTTATTATTTATTTTTCTATTCAATAATGTTTTGGTCACATGATGAACCTTAAAATATTAGAAAATGTCACTCCATAGATTGGTTGACGAAAGAAATAGTATATAAACAAATGGATATCATTTTTTAGGTTCTACTTCTCCCCCACCTCAGTGACCTCACCATCTTTAACTCTTTCCACCGCCACTTCTTATTTTAATTTACGTATGGGTGTTCTGAGTCTTGTATTAAAAAAATTGTAGGGTTTATTTGATGATAATTTTGTCTTTTATTTTGTTTTCACTAGATATAAAGAGAAAATTGATGGAATTATAGACGAATCAAGAACGTAGAGGGGTGTGGTGGAAGGAAGGAGAAATACACATGAAATGATATATAAAATGGACACTAGAAATTAGATAAAAAAAATACCTACTTGCATGCAGTGAATTGCTCCGGGAATTAGGGAATTTTTCTTCAACCCACTACGTCCTAGATTCAAACTCTTTCATCTTTCTTTAGTTTAGATTAGAATAGAATATTGCTTGTCGTTTGAGTAAAGAACACCTACTTAAAATTCTCTCTATTTTTGGATTTTTGTTTTCATGTTGGATTTTCCATATACACTTCTTTCTTCAATCCTTATTCATCCCCTCCCTTCTTCCTTGTATTCTCTCTTTATTTCCAACTAAAAACTACAAACAAAATGGTTATCAAATAGGTCTACCGGTTACCACTCATTTCTCCTTGTCACAAATATTAAAAGACAAAAATTGGAGTGCAGGATGGATATTTTGAGCTAATAACATTAATGTCCTTAGAAAAACATGAAAAATGAAAACTTGAACTGGGGCATTTTTTTGGTGGTCTGATATTGTAGGGACTTGTGGATGAGTTTCGCTTACCAGAAAGAGAAGACACTAGTTTACTACAATTTATACCTTCATGGAGGTTTGCAAATGGAATGTTTGCTTTGGTGTTGTCATTTGGCCTTCTTCTCACAGCATTAAAAAGCAGGAAAGCAAGGTCATGGCGCTATGGCACTGGTAAGACTAATATGATGTGCCACTAATTGTCATCTCCCGTGTTAATTACGAAAGCAAGCATGTATAGAATGTAGTTTGATTTTATGTAATGCGGCGCTTTTTGGTGTTGCAGGTTGGCTAAGAAGCTTTGTAGCAGACTATGGTGTGCCACTTATGGTTCTGGTGTGGACTGGTGTGTCTTACATTCCAACTAGTAGTGTTCCACACGGCATCCCAAGGCGCCTTTTTAGCCCAAATCCATGGTCACCTGGTGCATATGAAAATTGGACTGTCATTAAGGCATGTCTTCCGAATTCAATTCTGTAATTAGTTTCAGTAAATTAAGAAGATAAATTAAGCTGATGTTTACTGGTTTATAATTGGAATCATATCACAGGACATGCTCAATGTTCCAGTCCTCTATATCATTGGAGCTTTCATTCCAGCAACGATGATCGCGGTGCTTTACTATTTTGATCACAGTGTAGCATCCCAACTATCTCAGCAGAAAGAGTTCAACTTAAGAAAGCCATCCTCTTACCATTATGACTTGCTTCTTTTGGGGTTTCTGGTATGCAAAGCAAATTGATCCTTCCTCGCATTCAACTTTTCCTTTTCCGTAAGCGACCTTATATAACTCTCTTGCTTTTTCATGGCAGACTTTAATGTGTGGTCTGCTTGGAATTCCTCCATCAAATGGAGTCATCCCACAGTCTCCAATGCATACAAAAAGTTTAGCTACTCTTAAACACCAGGTAATCACAAAAAACCTTTTCTTTATCTAATTTTTTTTTCCTTCCATTGTATCCTTTTGTTATGTTTCTGCAATCGTCATTTTTTCTGTTTTCTGATCATAATGATGTATACTTGTGCAGTTGCTTCGTAATCGTCTTGTAGCAACAGCACGCACAAGTATGAGAAATAATGCTAGCTTGGGACAACTGTATGGAAATATGCAAGATGCCTATCAACAAATGCAGACTCCTTTGGTTTACCAGGAGGCCTCATCTCGAGTATGACAAGAACACATATTTTGATTTTCAAGTCTTTTGATATATTAAACATGTGGCTTTGACTTGCAATGGAAACAAGGCCGCAGTTTAGAACATTTCGATGACATTAATTACCAGGTGATCATCGTGCTTTAATTGAAACACTTTTGTGTTGCAGGGACTGAATGAATTAAAAGAATCAACCATCCAGGCAGCTTCGAGTATGGGAAATTATATTGATGCACCAGTTGATCAGACAGTATTTGATATTGAGAAAGAGATTGATGATCTATTGCCGGTTGAGGTGAAGGAGCAGCGTCTCAGTAACCTGCTTCAAGCGGTATTGGTGGGGGGATGTGTTGCAGCCATGCCTATCCTCAAAAGAATCCCAACTTCAGTCCTTTGGGGATACTTTGCCTTCATGGCCATTGAAAGCTTACCCGGTAACCAATTTTGGGAAAGGATTTTATTGCTCTTTACAGCTCCAAGTAGAAGATTCAAGTAAACCCTCAAATCAAATCTCCTTTCACTTGTTTCATACATGTTTAACTTTACTTCCTCCTCATATATGGCATTTCATCATCCTGCAGAGTCCTCGAGGATAATCACGCCACTTTTGTAGAAACTGTGCCTTTCAAGTCAATCGCGATGTTCACAGTTTTCCAAACGATGTACCTGCTTGCATGTTTTGGGCTTACTTGGGTTCCAATTGCTGGGGTTATGTTTCCAATGATGATCATGCTCTTGGTTCCTGTGAGGCAATACATACTCCCCAAGTTTTTCAAAGGAGCACACCTTCAGGATTTGGATGCAGCAGAGTACGAAGAGGCTCCGGCTTTAACATATAACCTTGCAACGGTAAAACTCACTTTCCTTTTTAGCATATAAACGTATGGCGACATAACATGACAGGCTGTGCGACAAAAAGAAAGTTTCACCGTCTTATCTATAGCTAATGAATTTTAATACATGAGTCAAATGTGAATCAATATTAATGTTGTGTTTGATGTATTTGGAATGAAACAGGAGACAGAGTTGGGAGCTGGAGCTTCCTGCGCAGGGGATGCAGAAATATTAGACGAAGTTATGACCAGAAGCCGAGGTGAGTTTAGGCATGTCAGCAGTCCAAAGATCACAAGCTCTACTTCAACACCAGCAAATGCCCCTGAAATCCTTGGGAGTCCACACAAGACCTTCAGTCCTCGCGTAAGTGAGCTAAGAGGAGAGCGAAGTCCTCTTTCTGGCGGAAGAGGGTCGCACAGTCCGGGGACCCCTGGCTCTTCTTCTATTCTTGGGAAGAGTCCTAGTAACTGCTAAGGACGGAGCATCATGTTAGCTGTATATTTTTCTTCGCCTTCAGTTAAGAACATGTAGAGGGCTTTCACCGTTTTTAGTTCCACTGGTTCGCTTTGTTTTGTTTTGTTTTGTTTTGTTTTGCATTGCTTTGCTTCTTTGTAAAAATTACATTTTCTTTCTTTTGTCTTCTAAAAGTGTTCCTTTGTAATCATAGCACATTAGCGTTGTGTTTATTTCTGGTAAACATTATTTATACAAGTGAAGGTATTCAATCCCATCACGATCGACTCCATGTACGTACTCATTGTATCCTACTTGTACTATTACTTTAGTCTAAAGAAGGGGGAGAAATTGCACTGTACAAATAAACAGTGACTTTGGGTGAATTTCAGTTTATTTACAAAATTGCCACTCCTCGTCCTTTTGATATATTTACGTCTATGCCACTAAGTGAATTTCGTTACATTTACGGTTTTGCCATCATCGTACAAAACCGGTTTTGAGCATTTGGGATGCATGTGGGCTTTGGCTTTTGCTTCTGCTTCAGTAGGCCTGTTGTTGTGGGGAGGGGGAGGGGGCAGAAGGACTGACAGATTGGAGAGAGACGAGAGCTGCAAATGGACGGCGACCATGCTTGCAGAGAGAGTAGGAGATGAAATTGCACTGTGCGAATGGACAACGTTTTGGACTCTCTACCGCTGCTCTTGATGCACACGTGTTGATAATCGTGGAAAGGGAAGAAGGGATGGAAAAGCCGGCTTTTTCCATTTCCTTCTCAAACCCTCATTTCCTCCTGAAACTCGAAGAGAGAGAGAGATATGGCGGGATTTCGATTAGAGAGAGATGGGGGTGTTCGTTGCAGAGAAAGACGATGGCTACGAGATTCAGGGATTTGCAGAGAGAGAGAGAGAGAGAGAGAGAGAGAGAGAGAGAGAGAGAGATGAGACAAGGTGTCCGTTGTAGAGAGAGATGACAGGATTTCTGCGATTGCTTGGCGGTGGGTGGCTGGTGTTGGTGTCATTCTGAGTGGTTGAGGAGAGCGTTTGCATGTAGACAGAGTCACAGGGGCTGTACAGTTCGAGGGAGAGAAAGAGAGGGGATTGAGCGGTGATGTCGTTGGGGGGGGAGAGAGGGAGAGCGCGATTTGGAGGTTAGGTGAAAACAAAGCAGCTTCGAACCGAAGCTGACGGCGGGAGAGGGCGGGTTGTTGCATCCGTGTTATTCAGAGTGGGTTTTAAGAGAGTGAGAGTGCTGCATTCTAAGGTTTGAGAGTGGGTTTCGAGAAAGTGAGGGCTGCGTTCTAGGGTTTGCACAGGGTGAGTGTGGGTGCACGATTTGGGGGATTGTATCTATCCCACTCTCTCTTCCTCCATCCATGACATCCACAGTAAAACCTAGGCGCTCCTCTTATATCTGAAAACCCCGAGATGCTCTCTCTCTCATTTTTCTGCTATCCTAGCCAAACCCAAAGATCAAACCCAGATTTCAACCGTACCCTCAACTGTGTTTCCAGCTTTGTTTTGATTTTCTTGGATTGCCCTTTTAATTGTTTGGTAGGCAAGACTGATGCCGAAGATGCCGAATGAAGTGGAACTGATGAGTTTTGGCAAGATTTTGGAGAACAACGTGACAGTGGGTCATTACCTTTGGTTGATATTGGTTAGGGAATTGTCATGATGCGTGTTGTTGTACAGCCAGCTATGGGAAAATCTAAAATAGGTAATGTTTCCGTTAGGAACATAATCTCGGGTTTTGTATAAGTATCTGCTGGGGTTGGGTGGCCTAAGACAGAACATATTAAATTTGGTGTTTAGCGTGCTTAAACTGGTAGGGATGATCAGAATTGATGTTCTTAGTTATTAAAACGTGGTATTTATCCTGTAAACTACACCAAGGGGACGGGGGATGGTTAGAACTTTGAACCCAGGATGCAGTGGGGCTAAGAGAAATACCCTCCCCACTGGGGCAATCAATCACTTGCAGAATTGTTAAAATACCTCTGCTAAAAATATGAGCTTTACTTCCTGTACTTTATTTGTGATGTGGAAATAGTCTTTACAGTGGCTTATTTGTGATAGTTGATGAAGAGGTTTGTGTTTAAGACGAGAGTAGTGTGGCCTCTTTCTTGCAGTGAAATATGTATTTGTGAATGTGGGTTTGTGGGGTTTGTTGCTTTGATAGGTGAATATCTTTGTCCTGCAACTTTTCCTTTCAGTTCGATTGAATAATTACTTCGCAACATGCGATCGTGCTTTGTCTATCGTTTGATATGAAGCTGAATTGCAATGTCTTTAACCCTTTTTATTTTTTTGGCAAAGTGTCTTTAACCCTTTGATTCACGCACTATAAGCCTACTTAGCTCCAGCTGAAGCCATTCAAGTCAAACTGTCTGTAGCTTGAAGTTTACTTTTATTTTTAGAAATGTTTAGTAATTTTTTTTTAATTTCGGCAGAAATCAATTCAATGAACTTCAATTTGATGATGGAATGCCAGGAAAATGCAGTGGAGAGCCTTCTCTCGCTCTCAAATCTAGCAAATCGCGCCAGACCACGGGTCCATCCGCACCACCAACGTTCCTCCGCTTTAGTGAAGGTAAGCGATCCATCCTACTCTAAATTTCAGAATTTTGGGGGATTTTGTTTCCTTTTCAATACCAATCAGGGTTTAATTTGATGGATTGAAGCACCGTGGAGCTGATTGGAGTGGCCTGTGCCAGCATGGAGATTGTTTCTTTGCTCATCAGAGGCTGGCCATTATTGACCCTGCTTGTGGTGATCAACCTCTCTACAGTGAAGACAAATCAATTGTTTTCACGGTAGGATCGCGTCATATATTTTTAAATTTTGTATGGTTTAATTTATTGAATATTTGAAAAAATAGATAAATTTTTTAATTTTCGATTAGTGATACGATGTTTGTTTTGAAAATCATTAGGTGAATAGAGAGATTTACAACCATGCAAAGCTGAGGAGCCGTCTGCCAAATCAGATTTATAAGGTCTGATCAGTTATAAATGAAATTACTTTTCATTCCCAATGACCTTATTTATCGTTTTGCTTCGTCGTCGTACTGCAGCTGAGTCGCCTGCGGACCCGTAGGCTCGGCGCTCCAGATTCCCGAGGCTCTGGCGCTCCAGATCCTCTTCAGCTTTGATGAAGGGGCATATATAAGAGGAATCAAGAACGTTGACAACTAATTACATATTTGCCACACTCCCAAGGAGCAGATCTGGAGATGTACTGTCCACCATCCAAAGGTCCTTGTGTCAGATGATGCCAGACAGATCTCAAGAGTTCAGCTTCGAGACGAGGTCAAATGCGATGGAGTAGACGAGGAAGATAGTCTTCTTCAAGGCATCAACAGAGGAACATCAATCAAGAAAAGCATGTGTTGTCACTTTAGAGAAAAGGAATACAGAAAGCAAAAGCAAGGAGCGGCGAGATCAAGCTGCAACAGAATAATAAAAGCAGAAAGTAAAAGAGAGAGATGCGGTGGAAAAGAGAACGACAAAAGCAAAAGAGAGGTGCAGTGGAAAAGAGAAAAGCAAAAGCAAGGAATAAACATCCCAGAATGATGTGATTTACTTTTCTTATTTTTGAATGATGTAATTTATTTTTCGTATCTTTCGGAGATATCCGTATAAACCCCATCAGAGGGTAAAAAAAAAAAAAAAGGCAAAGTCCAAAATAAATGGGCTGAAATGTTGTGTGGAGGGCGAAGGCCGATAAGTCCAAAATAGCACTAACCAGGTGATCAAAAATACGCTCAATACTCCAAATTATTCGGCATCCCGTCGCTATTATCGCCAACCAGGTGATCAAAAGTAGGCCTAGTACTCCAAATTATTCGGCAGCCTGCCGTTATCATTAACCAGGTGATCAAAAGGACGTCCAGTACTTCAAATTATACATGAGCATTACTCATGTCAATCATACATCAACATTCATGAGCATTACTCATATCAATCATACATAAACATTCATGAACATCACTCATGTCAACATTCATGAGCATCACTCATGTCAACATCCATGAGCATCACTCATATCAATCAACATAAACATTCATGAACATCACTTATGTCAATCAGCTTCAAAAGCTTCATTTACAGAGCTCTAGCATCAAAAGCTTCATTTGCAAAAGCTCTAGCTTCAAAAGCTTCATTTACAGAGCTCTAGCTTCAAAAGCTTCATTTACAAAAGCTCCATTTACAAAAGCTCTAGCTTCAAAAGCTTTATTTACAAAGTTTTTAGTTTCAAAAGCTTCATTTACAAAAGCTTCATTTACAAAATCTCTAGCTTCAAAAGCTTCATTTACAGAGCTCCAGCTTCAAAGCTTCACTTGCAAAGCTTCACCTACGAAGCTTCAGTGCAAAGTATACAAATACCGCATCCAAACAACCGCCTCTTCGGCCCATACATGGATTCAATTTGAAGTATCCAGCCAATAGACTCTATTGGCCGAAGACTTTGGGGACTACATTATGTATCATATATTAGGCCTCAACTGGGCCTAAAAAAAATACTTGGGGGACTTAGCCCATTATTTATGTACTGAGGATCGAGCCCTTATTCTATAAAAGGGTCTCTCTTACTTTCATTAGAGAGCACCCATTATTCATGTACTGAGGAGCAATCCCTTATTTTATAAAAGAGACTCCCTCACCTTTATTAGAGAGCAACGCCGCCAGCTGAGCAACCGCCTCGCCACATAAGCTAGCTCTTGGTTAAGAAAATCCTGAATATGGGAACATGGATGGTAAACCACGTGTTTTTATCTAAGTGGTGGAAAATTTTATTTTTTAAGTTATTAATTTTTCAACACAAATCCTATTATTTGTATAATAACATATGATGTAATACCTTATATACCGATCATACTGAAAAATCTCTTCCAAGAAAGGAATATTCTTTCCTTCTCTTCAAAGAAAACTTAGCCTTTTCTTTTCTTTCCAATCCCACATCATTTGTCACCATGATGTCCCCAATTAATGGCCCTCCTTCTCCTCTTTTTTCAAAGAATCGTTCCATCCCCGAAAACCAATTCCTTTGCCTTTGAAAATGACAAAAGTAAAGGAATCTAGCCTTTCTTTTTCTACAAACATAATCAATATGTTTCCTCATCATCACATGCTCCCGGATTTGGATAGCCTAGGAGGCTAAGTCTTCTGAACAAATCACATAGACCGTTAGATTTTGATCAAATAACTAAAATTATTATAATTTTTAGAGGAGTTTTCTATTTGTAATCGTATGAGTTGCTCAGAAGGCTCAGCTTCCTAAGCTCAGGAAAGGATCCAAATCCTTTTAGTCGAAAGCTGGTATGGAAACACACCAAACATGATCCTCTGCACCTGGAAAATATGACAAAAGTATCACAAATACTTAAAACTACCACCTAAATTAGACAAGAAAACAAATATAAAAAGACAAAATATATAGTATAAATATTGATTCATCAGTCTCGCATTTCAAGATAGTTTACTTGAAGAATCTTGGGCCATTTTCGATATCATTTGTATATTAGCATCTTGTTAGTCAGTAATGGGTATGGGAAACAAAAGGTCGGAAACGATTCAAATGAGGGATTTGGATCTCATCTGGATCCAAAATATGAAAATCTTAGGAATTCTTACATCTTAACCATTTATAGTGCATCGTGTGATTATAAATTATTTGATTTTTTTATTTAAAATTAAATACAAATAGTACCTGACGAAAACTGACAGCATGATATACGATGAACGATTAGGATGTGGAGATCCCTAGGATCCCCACAAAGTGGATCCGGAGAGAATCCTCATATTAAAGGAGGGAAACCTTTAAGAGAAGGGATCCCTTGCACCTCATAGATCATCCTTACAAAGTATTAGCCAAATCTGAAATGTTTAAGACATTTAATTGAGTTAAAAAAAATTAACGAATAATTTATTATATAAAAAACAATGAAATTTTATCTTGATAATTAAATAAGCAAATAGTTTCGAATTAAATTGAATTTTTGTAAGAATGATCTATAAAACGAGACTTATAAAATAAATGATTCGAATTGTTAAAATTCGATGTGGAGTGAGCCCCACATATAATTCTTATTTAAAAAAAATACAAATCCCTTTGCATAAAGAGTCTGTTTAAAGGAGAATGAACTAATGAACTATACGATAAATGACAACAACTCATAAAAACAGTAACAGCCTCTGCGTATTCATCTCTCTCTCTCTCTCTCTCTCTCGGTCTTCGATCACTCTCAGTATCTCCTTCCCAGCGGCGACCAGCGACCCGCGAGGTTGTTCTTGCCGTTTCGAGTCTCGACAGCACAGACCAGATCCCCACCTGGATTCCAAAAGGTTAGTCTCACATGTCTGTTTTGTATTTATCTGTTCAAATTGGTTATGATTGGACAAATATGTGTGGTCTGGAAGTGGCTCCTATGGTTAGTCTCACTTGAGTGTTGCGAGCCATCTCCCTCTGAATACTTGTTGTAGTGTTTTAAAATTCGAAAGTGGAATAGTTAGTTTTCTCTTTTATTTCGGCAGTGGACTAGTCATTTACATTGAAGCTTGAATTGTGAATTTTTTGAAGTTTGGTTTTTATGATAACATGGAGTTATAGGTCCTTATACAACACGTCTTGTCTTCTACAGCTTCAACAAATGGATTTGCGAGAGATGTTGAAAGGATTAGAACACATAACTTTCCAAGTTGTAGAAACCAAAACGGATTGGGTCGATGCAAAGTGCCTTGCAGGAGACGGAATTCACCTCAAGGTGCTAGAAAATGAAGTGCTTCTCAAGATGATCAATGAGATGCTGAAGGGACTGACGACGGGAATGACAGAGAGGATTGCTGGATATATACTTATACTTGTGTGGAACATGAGGTCCGCATCTGACAACAGTAGGCGCATCTTTCCGGAAAAGAGCCCAAGTAATCAAGGGATAGATGTTGAGGCCCTTTCTGACGGAGTTGTATCACCCCGAGGGACAACCCCCATCAAGCTTTCTGCAGCAGGGGGAAACAGTTATTCCCTAAATGAGTGTGTCAGAGTTGGATGTTTTCTAGCTGCCTCTCTGTTAAAATTGTTCAGAAAACCTGCATACTCTTGGGACAAAGCCAAGTATCATATACAGAGAGCGTACACTAACTATACTAAGGAACCGTGGCCATTGAAAGACCTCAATGTCATCGCCAGTCATGTTGGAACACTGTCTCTTTTATGGGAACGTAAGACCATATTCAGGGACACCCTGGGATCCATTCTGTACTCCATAGGAGACCTTGAAGAGGGTCGAGGGATGGTTACAATGCTCTTTGCAGGGCATCTTGCATACACTGGAATGCACGTTGTCGATTTGTTCTGCAGAGCTGTAACAGGTCTTCAGTGTCAACCGACTGATTTGATGAAAGCCTTACATACACATACACATACATCCATGCGTAAAAAGAGTATTCTTGACGAGCTAAGAATTATAATTGAATCATATATAGGGTCGGAGGAAGAAGACAAAAAAAGACGGACGTTCCAGTATGCAAGACTGTTTGACAGTCAAATGTTCGGTAATCTACAATCGAAGAATTGTGCCCATCTAGTCTGTATCTTAGCATACCTTTGTCAACAATGTGGAAGTGCAGGAGCCGGAGACGCAACCCAAATTGCAGTGATAGCAAACATGGGGCAAGGGGCCAAGGACAATTGCAAGGCCGAAGCAATCAACATCTACAATTATATCGTTACCAAGAATGAAATAGAAAAATAAGCCCACCAGTGAGAGTCCTTCCCACCATAGTGTGAGTTTCAGATTTCTCTTCCGTGTTCCTGCGTAGCCGCTAGCCCTGCTATGGCTAGGGTCGGTGGTTTTTGGGGTTCTGTTTTGTGGGTTGTGTATGCTGGGCTACAAACTGTACTTGGGCTTGTTTGTTTTGAGATCCACGTTGGTCTTTGTAATTGGTGTGTTTATGTACCTCTTTATGTGTTTTGTTTGTGTGTAATATCTTCATGTTGGTAATGAATTTACCTATTCACAAAAAAAAAAAAAAAACAAGAAGATTAATATTATACTGTTTGGCTGTATGCTTTCCTTGTTCTTGGGATTCTTTTTATCTTAATAAAATTTATTTTCCTAGAAAAAAAAATTATACTCTTTTTATAATAGGTATTGGTTGGCATGTGAATTTTGTATTGAACTAATTAGCAGTGAATTGACTTTAGGTTAGGGGATGGACATTCTTCTTCAACCCATTACGTGCCAGATTCAAACTTTCTCCTTTTTTTTAGTTTAAATTAAAATAGAATATTGTTTGTCATTCGAGAAAAAAAACGCATACTTCGAATTCCTTCTATTCTTAGAGTTTTTGCTTCATGTTGGGTTCCATTCTAGATACACTTGTTTCACATTCTTCCCATCACCCTCCTTCAATCCTTATTCATCCCATCCCTTCTTCCTTATATTCTCTCTTTATTCCAAACCAAAAACTCAAAACTAAAAACAAAATAGTTATCAAACAGGTGTACCGACTACCGGTGCCATTGACACTCCAATCTCACAAACATGAAAAATGAAAACTTGAAGAGGCGCAATTTTGGTGGTCTGATTTTGTAGGGACTTGTGGAGGAGTTTGGCTTACCAGAAAGAGAAGATACTAGTTTACTAGAGTATACACCTTCATAGAGGTTTGCAAATGGAATGTTTGCTTTGTGTTGTCATTTGGCCTTCTTTCTCACTGCATTAAAAAGCAGGAAAGCAGGGTCATGGTGCTATCTATGGCACCTCTTGGTGTCGCAGGTTGGCTAATAAGAAGCTTTGCACCAGACTCTGAGTACTACATTCTGACTAGTAGTGTTCCTTTTTGGGCTGGGCTAGTGGGCTTGTAGTGTTTTTTTTTTCTAGTCCAGAAGCCTGAAATTCATTCACAATTCAAATTTTACTGCAAAACGAAAACCCTAAGCTGTGATTTGGGCTGTTTGTCCTCTTCAGTTATCGAAAGATGCAGGACCCGGAGGAGGAGACCAAGAGGAGGAGGAGGGAGATGCCGGAGGAGAAGGACACCAAACGGCCAAAATCCATGACACTGGCCACCATCCCTTCCTTGGAGGACTCGTTGGCCAGTACTTGTTTGACCAGAGTTGCCCTTACCCCCCAACAGCACGAAAACTGTGCCTTTGCTCTCAAATTCTTCAAAGACAAGCTCCGGATGCCCGAACAGATCAACCGAGAGTGGGATCAGTTAGATGCCATTTATATAACACAATCCGAGGCGGACAAGCGTTGCACTGTGGCTCTCAACACTCTCAATTTCTGCAAAAACCGGTATGATGAATACGTAGCGTTCGATGAAAATAGGGTTGTTCTTAAATCTTGTGCGGCAGGGGCAGGGGACTATATCAATGCCAGCTTCATCACAACACCATCTTCCTCTTCTTGTTTTATTGCAACACAAGGTCCACTTTCACACACCTTTGAAGCTTTCTGGGAGATGGTCATCCAGTACCGTTGCTCTGTAATTGTCATGCTTACTGACTTGGATGATAACAAATGTGGAGATTATTTTCAGGCCGATGACAAGGACGGCATTAGTAGTAGAGAATTTGGGAATATATGTGTAGCCACTAAGTGGATAAGAGGAGTTGGTGAATTTGGAGATGGTAATTCGGATTCACTAGTATTGCGCCTTTTGGAGGTGAAGAAGAATAATAATAAAGAACAGTCATCAGACTCGGACTCGGAGGAACCTTCACCACCCATGTCTGTTTTGCACATTCAGTATCCTCAATGGCCCGACCATGGAGTTCCCGAAGACACGTTTGCGGTTCGTGGAATTTTGAAAAGAGTAATGTATCAGGAAGCACTCGCCATACCCGACTGCGGCCCAATTGTGGTGCACTGCAGTGCAGGTGTTGGGAGAACTGGAACGTACTGCACCATTCATGATACACTGCAGAGAATTCTTTCGGGGGACACGTCTGCTTTAGATTTAGTAAAAACAATAACCACATTCAGGTCTCAGCGAGATGGAATGGTCCAGAAACCGGAGCAATATCGTTTCTGTTATGATGCCATCATTGATGAATTGGAAGAGCTCATCTTGGATGGATCCCCACTTGGCAGTTGATATATAGTGAAGTGAGCTAAGCTCCTCCAGTACCTGCTTTTGACAGGACATGAGTTTCTTTACTTATGCAAAATTGAGGTATATTCTTTCTGAATAACATGGATATCAGAATTATATTTCGGTTATGCAGCTAGATTCAGATTTCAGAATTACATTTCAGTTTCCATCTTTAATTGAAACTTGGTACTTTGTGAAGAGTGTTCCTTTGATTTATGAATTCCTTGCTTACAGTTTGTGTGTTTTAATTCTTGCTTTGTGCTTCTCTTCCATGGAAAGTTAATGCCCTCATATACATGCATCTTCTGTGTAAGCCCCTTCTTGCTAGTTCTGTATAAGTTTGGATGTCTAGTGTCGATTCTTGCATTATTCTATCGGATAATAGGAGGATACTATTGCCATACATTTCTAATTTTCTTTATCAGAACCTAGGTGGCTGTGAGAAATTGGATTGTACAAAGCCATTGTTTATTGCTTTATGTAATATGATATGGGGAGGTTGGGAAATAAATGTTGAAACTTATTTGAATTATACACTCAACAATGGAAATTAGTTATCTTCAGTTGGGCTGATCACCCAATGAGAGATTCAAATTACTGTTGACCCTAGAAATTACAAAGCCTACGTGGCGCGCAGGCCGAATATATTCTAAGCTAACTACGTCCTTCGGTGATTGCGGGGCGTGCCAACTCGTCGGCCGAGGCTCGGCCGAGGAGTAAATTTGATGATGCTGCGTTGGGTCGCGCTACTGACTTCTGCGTCTTGCGATTGCGGCCGAGAAAGGAACGCGTCTCGGCCTCTTGGGTTCTCGAGCCTGAAGACAAGGCTGCTATTTCTTACAAAGTTCACGAACCGAATTCGGCTTACAATGTGCCGAATGTAATAACTGTAACACCTCACCTCGCCGAGAAGGCTAATGAGATGACCTCGACCAACAAGGATTCGAAAACCCTTCTCGACCGAGACTTGGATAGGCAATCGACCGTTCTCGCCGCAGTGCTGTTGATGCCAACGGAAGATACTGCGAGACCGACCGACTCTACGGTGACAGAGCTATCTATGCCGACTTAAGATATCACCGGTTGCTTCCACAGTGCTGTTGATGCCAACGGAAGATGTGTCAGCGAAAAAGGAAAAGAAAAAGATCTCAAGTTGTGAGAGTTTGCGCAGGGCAATTTTGTATTGATTTTTGTGGGGCTTTTCCATTGCTGAATGTCTTGTATTTATAGTAGCAGAACACCGAGCCCGAGTTCTAATCCTATTCGAACTAGGTTTCCCTCTCCGGATTAACGTTACCTCAATCAGTCCTATCTCTGCTAGGACTACGAATCTAGTCCTTAACTGATGAGCCGGATTCGCCTTCTAGTTTTACTGATCTCGTCGAGGGTCCCTATTGTATTAGGACTCGACTTGCACTCTGATTTAACCGATCTAGGCCTAGAAGCCCATGAGCTGAACGCCCCCATGACTCTCTCTCGCCGTACGTCTTCCCGGGCCGAAAGTGATACCTCCCTCGGCCCAAACTGTTATTTTGGGCCCAAACATTGCCCCCTCGCTTTTGAGGTCCTCGGCCTGAAACCTTCGGCCGAGTTTCGGCCTTGAAGAAGCGAATCTACCACTCAGGATCCCAATACCCGAGTTCCAAGGCGCATTTATTGAACATGATCGCACGATCTTGATCCTGCTAAACCACTTGCCACGTGGCATCCCCTAACATGGCCAATCCCCGATAATGACGTCTGAAGCGTGCGCCTGCCCGAACCGTCTCGCCATTATGACCACTATCTCAATTCGCGAGCCATTTCATCAGTCCGTGAGCCCTCCTGTCATCGTGCAGGCGTCGAACCGTCTTTCGTCATTAACTTCGCCGTCACACGCGATCGTGCGCCCCAAAACCTAAAACCGTCGGTCTTCTCAACCGCATTCCCCAAATGCTCATCATGATCAACGATTCCTCCGGTCGACTTTGCCCTTTGTTTTGAATTTCGAACGATTGCTCTTCCTCCCATTACTCTATAAATACCGAAATTTCCTCATTTGTACTTTACGTTATCAAACTTCCTGAAATCTCCTACCCTTGCTCTCAAGTGCATTCCTCCATTCCAAGTTTTCGTCCTCAAATCCCCAACCCAGAAAACCTCCTTACGCTGTGCTTTTACAATGGCCTCCTTCATCTCCAAGCTTTCCGGGGAATGCGACCAGCATCAAAAGATCCTTGATCGGAGCTCGATCAAGAATATACGGTTCGAGAACGACATGAGCACCGTCCACCAAATCCTGGGTCTCTCTCTTCAAGGCAAACAATCGCCGACCGACCATCACTGGTCTTCTCCAGGAACACTGCCTTACACCCTTGCTCCAAGGGTTTGAATGGTCGAGATGGGAGGCGGCAAAACCCCAAGGCTCCTGGCCCTCGACGACCACCACCTGGGCGACCTGGGTTGTCCGAATGGAACGGCTCTTCGGCGAAAAATGGAAAATCCTGGGTATCTACGACGCCATCCTCCTTTCGTCGATGGACATTGTCCCTGACAAGGAGCTGCTCCTAGCCGCTCTATGCTTCTGGTGCTCAGCCACCAACACAATGGTCCTTCCCCTTGGTCCCATTGGTCCCACCATCCTGGACATCACCGTCATTTTGGGGACCTCGGCCACCGGGATCCCTATCGACGCGACCCTCTCCGGGCACCCGTCGAATATCGATCTGAAGACGCTCTTCGACCGTCGAGCCTTTCGAGACCCTGAACAGTGACGGTCACACATCCCGTCGAGGGATGAGATACAGAAGCTCCACAAGAACTTTCTCAACTACAACACCCTCTACCTTCACTTCGCCGGTCGAGGGGAAGAGGACCTGCGAGAGGAGAGAGCATGAAGCCTTTCTCTTCTACTGGTACAACAAATACATTTGTTGTACCAAATCAAACAAATGTTTGGTCGAGAATATGCCAGTGGCCGAAGCCCTGGCCAGTGGTCACGTCCTGGCGCTGAGTTCTAATATTCTTGCCCACCTCTTCCGTTGCCTGGCCGAGGCGACTCTCCACACGGTGGACCCCCACCAGAATGGCCCTCTCTGGGTCTTCCAGCTCTGGTTGCAGGTGTACTTCGCCTCCCTTCGGCCGGCTATAGCTGATTTCTCAGCAACAGAGGCTCTTGGTCCTCAGCTAGCCTCCCGACCAACGCCTCCTCATCAGGCCGAAGAGGTATTTAGGTACCTCTTTGCCCTTGACGATCTCTCAAGCGACGAATTCCTGATTTGTCGTCGTCGCGATTACCCCCCTCCATCAGACTGCCTACCTCTACGTGGGCCGCAGAGGAGGATGCCCGCTCTTCGCCAAACCTGGGGGTCGTTCGTGCTTGCTCGCGACCTTCCTCTCGGCTGCGACGGGAAACGGTCGGGGTGGGAAGTGTACCATCCGAACTTCCTTGCCCGTCAGCTCGGCTATCTTCAGGGTTGTCCCGTCCCCCTTCTCTCTTCCCGCACAGTATTGAGCCGCGGACGCGAGCCTCGCTCTTCAGAGAACGAGTGCAGGACTGCCGCGAAGGAGTTTCAAGAGTACTGCCAAAGATTTCGCCTACGATCGGCCACCCCAGAAACCTATTGCACTGACACATTCGGTGAGTGGTGGGAAAATTACACTCAGGAGTTCTTCGGTGCGCCGGTCGAAGATGTACTAAGCAGGCTCTTCGGTAACCGACCTAAGAAAGCCCCGGCCCCCCACTCTCAAGGTAGTTTGTTCAATTCCCCCTTTTTCTTCAACCTTGCATATTGTACGCCCTACTGAATTGTCTTTATCCTTTTAGGTAGTCGGCATTTGAGAAAGACAGAGGCAGTTGCCGCTGCTATGGCCGGGAAAAAATCGGTCGTGGCCAAAAAGGACAAACCTGCTGGTAGGGCCGGGCTGATCAAACGGCCTCGCCAAGAGGCCGGGCCGGCTATCGAGCCTTCCCCGCCTGCCAAACGGGTCAAACAACTGGCGAAGAAAGGTGCACGGGAGATCCACGTTATTTCCAGCCACACGACGACTCCCAGTGCTTCCCCTTCTCCCGCCGCCGGCCATTCTGAGGTCAAGAAACAGCCGGCTTCGGAGACGGTCCCAGCGCGGCCTGCTTCTGTGGCCGGCGAATCAGTCGTACCTCCCTCTGTCGAGAAGGCACCTGTCTCACACCAGGCGGTTCTTACGACCGAGGAAACCTCTCCCAAGAATCCAAAGCCCACGGTCTTCGTGCTGGAAGAGAGTGAGGGGAGCGACGAGGTCCCGCTGGCGCGTCGTCCTCCTACTCGTCAACAAACTCCTCCAGTATCCGAGATGGCGGTTCAACCCGGCCCCTCCTCGGCTAATCGTGGCAAGCGCACGGTCGAGGAACCGACCCCGGCGGCCGAACCTCTCGTTCCTTCTCAAAGACCAGGACGTCCCTGCCTCCACTGAAGCAGCTGCGCCAGTCGGCCCATCGGCAGCCGACCGTGGCAAACGCCTGCTCGAGGAACCCGAGGCCACGGCGGAATCGCCGATCCATCCTCAAGACCAAGGCTTCCACATCCCTCCACAAGAGGTTACCTCGGCTTTTGTAAGTACCTTCAATTTTTCCTCCTGATGATTGCTTTTCTGCTTTAGAATTCTAAACAAGGAAAAACTAAATGTCAGGTGCCTGTACATTCTTTTTCACCGTCAATTCTATGCGCCGAAGGGCGTTATCTATATTTCCTGGCCGCCTCAGTGGCCATCAAACGTAGATAACCTCCATCGGCCTCGTGAAGTGAGAAGCAATCTGAGACACTGGGCTCGGCCATTGAGTTCTTTAGGTTCGAGCAACGACCCTGGGGACATGGCCGAGGTCTCCTCTCGGCAGGTTAAAAAACGACACCTTCTTGCCATTCTTGTCATGACTTCCTTTAAGCTTAACCTTGTTTATTCGTGCAGGCTTCATGGGAGGTTGAATTCAAAGCTCTCCTCTCCAGCACGACTGCAGAGTCCGGCCCTTCGGCCGTTCCAACTGAGGCTGCCGATCCAAGCGCCCTAACCCAGTTGCGAGAAGTCCTGTCGCTCTCTTCATCGCAAGTACTTGAGCGCAACAGTCT